AAAAAAAAAAAAAAAAAAGAAGCAAAAGTTCCGCAAAAGTACTTTTTGTTTTCAGTCTTGTTCTTATCGCCCATTTACTTCATACCATGCAGTATTTAACGTTTCGTTGCAACGCCTCGTGTAAATATATTTATTGAATTAATTACTTGTACAGCTGCGCGATATTGTTCCCGACTTTCAGTGGGATTGTTCCGTTGCAGAAAATGAGAACTGTCTCATTGTCAATTTATCAGATAGCAGATAAAGTATACCGATAGTATATCGCGCCCGATCGAAATTCGATATCTTCGTGCACACGTTGCAATTTAGGATATTACAGTTCTCTCTCGCCTGTAAATCTCTCTCGTGGTGATGGAGAATTATTTAAAATTCTTTCGGCAATCATTTCAATGCCATCATTGCCGGTTGCACAACGATTCGTTACACGAATGCAACCGGTCCCGTAGGTCTCTGCCTCGAGATTTCGGATCTGGAAATTTTCGGACGTTGTTGTTGTTGTTGGTAATAACAACGCACGACGAATGTCTGAACTTGACTGGAATGAAGCAGGTTCGACCGGATTAGTAACCGGCGCCAGACTAACGCTGATCCAACATTGTGAAACAAATCGTGCACGTTTTCCCGATTATTCGGCATGATCCGAAATGATTACGCGATTAGATGGACATTAGCAAAGGCAGAGCGAATTGGAAAATTCACTTCACGTGTTTGCTGGATACCAGCGAGAAAATTAATTTAAGCTAAGTTTTATTACATTTTCCAAAAGGATTCAAAGGAAGAAATAGAATGAAATTAAGTGATTGGACATTGTTTTAGAAAGTATATATATATGCCCAACGACTTGATATTGTCGATGTCGTTGGAAATGATGTACTTGATGAAACAATCGAGTCATTCGTTGCCTAAATCTTCTCTACGACCTTGGAATCAAGAACACGACGTGGAAGTTAAGCGGAGACTAATTCTTCTAATTGGCCAGTTACGTTACTTTCAAATCACGTCTGTTGTATCTGCCTTGCAGAACGAAACGAAGAAAGAAACATACTGCCTTCGGCGTACAGTATCAACGGCTTTTGTGTTGCATGTTTAGAGTGATTGGCAGTCGTGATAGTCATTCAACGATGGTGCAACATCAAGGAGGAGGATCGTTTT